CTGGTTCTGTACTCGGATAGCCATCGTAGCCCTACTGTACAAAGACTTCAGCACCTCGATATGCCGACAATCAACTTAGCACCGCTGAAGGGACTGTAGCACCGCCCAAATTTTGACGGAATCTAAGGCTTACTCATAGTCCACATACGCCAGGCAAAGTGGCAGATTGTACTCTTCAGTCTTCTGTACAATCTGCCGCAAGGTATGTATGTGGTCTATGGTACTGAAGCCTTTTCGGAAACCGGCTTGTTCGGGAGGCTGGAAGTCGTCAAGTCTGCGTGCGAGATGATTCGTAATGACTCTCGAAAACAGCACGTAGACGCGGCTCAGAAGGGAAATCGGTCTGTAGTTCTTCAAGAGAGCGTTGTCGCCTTTCATAAAAAACAAGACCACGGCACTTCTGCTCCACGCCTCTGGAGTAGTGCCACCATGGAGGACGGAATTGAAGAGCTTCTGAAGGACTTCAAGTACCGGTGTTCCACCCGCTTTCAGAAGCTCCGCTGTAATTCCATCCTTGCCTGGGGCCCTGCCGTTTTTAAGGTGCTGGAGAGCCATTCTAATCTCGCTTAGACTGACGTCCGTGATATCATTGGAATAGTGTCGGATAAGACTTGCTCTTGGATCGTTACTCACACTTGCGTGTGGCTCCAACGATGATGTTTACAGCTGCCCATAGAACCTCTCAATCTCACTCAAAATCTCAGGTGTCCCGGAAACGATGCTGCCACACTCAGTCTTCAGCTTTTACAGTTGGCTCTTACTGGCAGACAGATCTCTGGCAAAGACTTTGGAGCCCTGGTTCCGCTCGATCGCTTCTTTAATACGAGCAGTATTAAAGTTACGTAAGTCTCGCCGCATGCATTTGAAGGTCTGTCTGTTCAGTTGCCTGTATGCTGTCAAATCTGTTGACGATTGCAGCCTCATCTCCCGTCTAACAGCCGTGAGATTAAGAGTGTGATCGGAGAGTTTTTGTGTTCTTCCGCGGCAGGTCTTGCAGAACTTAGCTCCGACCGCATGGACAGTTTCCACGAGCTTGTCATTTATATCGTCCACTGCATTGCAATCTTGTAGGCACTGAAAGCGGTTACGTAACTCGAGCTGAAAGTTTTCGGGATTCTGGATCAGAGTATGAGGGGGACGGAGCGTTGACTTCATTAGACGAGACCTCTCCAACTTAACGTTTAGGTTCAGTGTGCCTCTAACCATTCGGTGATCGCTGCCAGTTTTTACCCTTGCGATCACTGAGACATCCCTGAACAGTTGGCGTCTGGTCGTCATAATGAAGTCAATCTCATTTTTTCTCGCACCGTCGGGGCTCGACCAGGTCCACTTCCTGTGGGGCCGCTTCTGGAAGAAAGAGTTCATCATAAAGAGTCCCTCTTTCTCCATAAAGTCGGCCAGCTGCTGGCCCCTTCGGTTCCGTTGCCCTACTCCAAATTTCCCTAACTTCAGCTCACCGTTTTCTGTTGTGCCTAGTTTTACGTTGAAGTCTCCCATCAACACCGTGTAGTGGGTTTTGGAGGAATGCATGGCTTTGGAAATATTCTCATACATTTCCTCCACCTCCTCATCGGGATGTGCCAAGGTTGGTGTGTAAACCTGTATGACCTTCAGCGAATACCGTTTGGTGATTCTGAGTATCAGGTACGTGACCCTCGTCGACACACTCCCCATTTTTACAACTTTGTTGACGAGAGACTTGTGGACGATAAATCCGACACCTCCTTGGGACAGATGGTCGCCCTCCCGGTGATAGAACAAGTTGCCGGATTCCAGAATCACCGTGTCCTCCCCCTCTCTTCGGACCTCGGATAATCCAATAATATTCCAGCGCAACTTGTCTATCTCTTCTTCCAGCTACAGGATCTACTCGTCAGTCCTCAGGATGCGTGCGTTAAATGTTGCCAGGTCGAGTCGTCTTAGGTGGCAACCGAACCTCCACCGGAGATTCTTAGCACCCCCTGCCCCGTCGTTACCATGGTCGCCACCGTAGCCAGGAATAGCGGGGCCGTCGGGGACTGGGGGCCGTCTATTTATGTAATTGTTCATGGAGGGTATATTGCCATAGTTGCCACGCTTGGCGAGCGGGTTCGCAACCGCAGTTTTTTTTTGTCGTACAGTTGCTGTTATCAGGAAGATGCTGCTGCCCATCATCTCCTGCCTGTTTCCCTCTGTCGCCTTTTACGACATCCACAGGAAGATATGGGGTAGTGGATATTCTTAACCGCCATTACACGGCAATCAAATCTTGAGAAGTAGAAGGGGTTTAATCAACAACGAATCGAATTAGGATATCACAGTACAACATCTTGTTTATTCTTCATCCACAAAAAAAAACAAGTGTATTTTAACATATAAAAAATATTCAATGATTCTCTTAATGATGAATCAATACTATTTATTTGCATACTTAATTTATTTACACAGAAAAAAAAAAAAAGAAAAGTTCCTGAAGGATGTTTAATCCCTGAGTTGGAGAATAAATCTAACCTAATACCACTCACATAGTTTAGAACTATAGATAATCTCAGAATAAATAATAACTTTACGGTTAAGAAAGCACCCAGTTAAATAAAAGTGATAAATCCTGAATGCTTACCTCTGGAAATATATATAGTATTGCATTGGATTTTACCATTCGTCTTGAGTTTACAATATAAAAGTCTGTCGGCTTAATATGAAGGCTGCACGCAATGGCATTTTTGGTAATCTTTTGAAATACAGGAATTTCAACTAGCCATTTGTGCTTCATTTCTTCTTTTGACGGAAGACTCTAACAAACATAAAAATATTGTTCTTTTAATTATATAATACATATGTATAAATATTAATTATTATACGCATAATATGATAAATTTTTATCATAAATATATGATACCTCTTGTCTCCCGTCTACTAAAAGTCTAATGACCACTCTCACCAATGTTATCAAACAAAATCTGTTAATGCTTACCTGTGAAATGATATGCCATACCCACTATGTGGTTAATTTTTACATGTCTTGATGAAACTCTAATAGTACTTACTACGTACAGTTGTTCCAATTGCAGTATTTTGGTCGCACTGAAATCACTTATCGAAAGTCCTTATAGTTAAAATATACATCACAACGCACACAATTCGTCAAGCATTTTCGGGCTGTCAGGTCGTCTATACGCAATTATATAAATCTTTTACCTTTATATATTATCAAGTCTACAGGAGCAGTATGGAGATTGGAGAGTAAAGGTTTTACACTCCATAAGGAGCAGTGACATATTATATTCTAGTTAGTCTGTGATTGTATTATTGACTTTGTCAATTTGACATTTCTGTTTATTTCCTTTTTGATTCGATTTGTTGTCGTAAAGTTGTAATTATTTTAGTAGGTAACTTGCGATTTTTTAAACTCAGTTATATTATTCTGAACTGAGTCTTGATCTTGAGTGTAATTACGAATGAAACTTTGAAATTTTTTAAGGAACTAATCAGGAGTAATACATTTTTTATCATTTATAATAATTGTCAAGTGAATTGACAGGAAGATGCCTTCAATAACATTCAATGGATTTCGTAAACAAATAAAGTTACCACACGGCTTATTATTCAAAAATATGAGTCACTGATGCATTTAACACTGTTCAGTATGTACTTGATGTAGTCATAATTTTGTGTCAAGGAGAGACGTAGATTAAAATGTGTTATCAGTCATTCGCAGTTATCTGCATGTTTGAAATGAGAGATATCGCCTGAATCAAAAATTATTTGCATCAAAAAATCATAACGAAGAGGCAGTTTAGGAATGACGTAAGTGATGACTACATTTAACAGTTTTCATTAACAGCACATTTATGAGCATTAGCTATAAACTGTATTTGTGTGATAAAATCACTAATGGCTTACAGAGTACCGAGAGTGAAAAGAACTAGAAAAAGGCATTATAAATAAGTTTCTTTTAATTGACATTGAGATTATATGATAAGTTTAGTTTATATTTTATGGGATCTTGCAGACATTTGAGCGTTATCAGCTAGTGTTTACTTGTAACACTTCCTTATAACAACTCGTCTGCCATGTGTGGCAACTATGGCTAATTTCTCTCCCCCTAAGAAATAATTTATAAGGAATGTCTGTGTTCAGCAGTGGACTTTTGATAGGCTACTATAGTTACGAAAATGGTGAAGACAGTACGAAAATTAATCTTGTACGTTTATTTATTTATTTATTTACACTTTATTGTACTAACAGTACAAACGGCGGACTTAATGCCATATGGCATTTTCAACCAGCCAACCGGAAAGTTAGTGGGAGATGTGTGTACTGCAGTGGGCTGGGATGAAACCTAAAAATTGATAAATTTCACATACACATACACCCTCCACCCTCCCCCCCCACACACACACTCATACACACCACACACACATACACACTCATAGCTCAAACTTAATTAAATATATATAAGGATACCATCCACACCATCTGATGTGTTAGGCGTAACCAAGAAAAGAGCTTTCGGGGTTGCCCCCTCTCCTAATAGATTAAATGTTATAGATTATTTATATATTTATGTGTCAGATGAACCCAAATAATGTTCCTTTACCTTTGTTTTAAAAATCCACTTGTTGGGGGATTTTCTTATTGCTAGGGGAAGCGCATTCCGGAGTCTTACAGCTGTAACAACGAAAGAGTTTGTAGGTTTATTAATTTTTAAAATTTAGTTAAGTTGGTTGTTAAAAAAGTTAACAATTTTAAATTTTTTTTTATTTTTTAATGGTTTATTTTAAAAGGTGTAATATTATTACAGTAGGTGTAGTATAATTAAACTTGGACAAATAGATCGAATTCATATTTTTACTGTGTGCTCATCTTTTGACTTCAATTCAAAAATGCTTTGTATTGCAGATAGCACCATGGCACACCCCAACCCACCAGCAGCCCCTCCACAGACATTGGGATCAACCAATACAGTATTCATCACAGAGACACGTTTTGACCCCTCATATGTAAAGACACTTCCAGGGATGATTAAAATTGCTGTAATTGTATGTATATAACTTCAGTTAGTACTTAAAGTATCTATAATGCAACAAAACCTCCATTTTTATTTATTTATTTGTTTAATAGTTTATGTACATTCCATACTTTCATAGGAAAATGGTAAAAAACGCTTTTGCTTAACATGACAATTCAGTAAATATAGAAATATTATAGCTAGATATTATTGTAGTTGTACAAAAGGGTCGACTCGAATGGTGAAGAGCCATGTTGGTAAGGATACTGTTGAGAAATAGTAGTTTAGTGCTGCTTTATTTCTGTATGTGGTTGAGCCACGTAGCAGCTATATTATCGTTGTAGCACAAATGGGTCGGCTTAACAGGGACAAGACCAAACTCTCACAGAACACCAGTGTAAAATAGCAGCATAATGCTGCTGCATTTAGTGTGATGAGTGTGGAGAATCGGAGACCTTTTTTACTGGAATTGAGGCATTCTTAGTCTTCTTCATCTTAGTCCTCAGGGGTGACAACGCATTTGCATGTTGTTTTTATAATTGAGGATAAATGTGAATGTCTGTGGGATACAGCATCTACTTACGTCAGGTGGACTGTGTGCTCGTTCTTCACACAATGTGATAAAAAATGTGAGTGAACAAGAACCAGAGAACTATTTTACTGGTACAAAGCATTCCATCTCAGATTTCAGGGGTGACACACCTTCAATTTGAATCTTAATTTAGTAGTAGTAGATATTGAGTTTGTAGTGTCACTCTGCAGTTATATAATGATACATACCAACAAGTACAAATGGGGATTAAATTAAAGCTTAATTTAAAGAGTTTTTGGTAAAGTGTCTCACTATGTATTCTATTCTTAATCCTTACACGTCAACCTTATTGATAAAAATCAGTGTTAACTTAATAAATGTTTAAAGTTTATTATAATCATTTAGTGAAAATGGAGAGAGAATCTCCATTTTCACTAAATGATTATAATAAGAGAAACTAAGGTCGCTTAACTGTAACCTTTTTTAAGTTAATTACAATTGTTCACTTACTAAATCAATGTAAAAGCTGAAGACTGAGTGTCGCAGCATCATCTGCAATCGTCAACAGATTTGACAGCATACAGGCAACTGAACAGACAGATCTTCAAATGCATGCGGCGAGACTTACGCAACTTTAATACTGCTCGTATTAAAGAAGCGATCGAGTGGAACCAGGGCTCCAAAGTCTTTGCCAGAGATCTGTCTGCCAGTAAGAGCCAACTGTCAAAGCTGAAGACTGAGTGTGGCAGCATCGTTTCCGGGACACCTGAGATTTTGAGTGAGATTGAGAGGTTCTATGGGCAGCTGTACACATCATCGTTGGAGCCACACACAAGTGTGAGTAACGATCCAAGAGCAAGTCTTATCCGACACTATTCCGATGATATCCCGGACGTCTGTCTAAGCGAGATTGGAATGGCTGTCCAGCACCTTAAAAACGGCAGGGCCCCAGGCGAGGATGGAATTACAGCGGAGCTTCTGAAAGCGGGTGGAACACCGGTACTTGAAGTCCTTCAGAAGCTCTTCAATTCCGTCCTCCATGGTGGCACTACTCCAGAGGCGTGGAGCAGAAGTGCGGTGGTCTTGTTCTTTAAGAAAGGCGACAACGCTCTCTTGAAGAACTACAGACCGATTTCCATTCTGAGCCGCGTCTACGTGCTGTTTTCGAGAGTCATAACGAATCGTCTCGCACGCATACTCGACGACTTCCAGCCTCCCGAACAAGCCGGTTTCCGAAAAGGCTTCAGTACCATAGACCACATACATACCTTGCGGCAGATTGTACAGAAGACTGAAGAGTACAATCTGCCACTTTGCCTGGCGTATGTGGACTATGAGAAAGCCTTTGATTCCGTCGAAATTTGGACGGTGCTGCAGTCCCTTCAGCGGTGCCAAGTTGACTGTCGGTATATCGAAGTGCTGAAGTGTTTGTACAGTAGGGCTACGATGGCTATCCGAGTACAGAACCAGAGCTCGAAACCTATCCAACTGCAGAGAGGTGTAAGACAGGGTGACGTTATATCCCCGAAACTCTTCACCGCTGCATTGGAAGACGTTTTCAAGCTACTGGACTGGAAAGGATACGGTATTAACATCAATGGCGAGTATATCACTTATCTTCGATTTGCCGACGATATAGTCCTTATGGCAGAATCGCTGGAGGACTGAAGCACTATGCTGAATGACCTCAATAGTGCCTCCCAACGGATAGGTCTTAAGATGAACATGGACAAAACAAAGATTATGTTTAATGTCCATGTCACACCTATGCCGGTAGTTGTTGGGAGCACTATGCTCGAAGTTGTTGACGAGTACGTTTACCTGGGACAAATAGTCCGACTAGGTAAGTCCAACTTCGACCGAGAGGTCAATCGACGGATTCAACTCGGCTGGGCAGCGTTCGGGAAATTACGACGTATGTTCTCGTCAGGTATACCTCAATCTCTAAAAACTAGATTGTACAACCAGTGCGTGTTGCCAGTGATGACTTACGGATCTGAGACGTGGTCCTTCACTGCTGGCCGTATGAGGACGCACAAGGCTGCTCAGCGAGCTATGGAGAGGGCTATGCTCGGAGTTTCTCTGCGTGATAGACTCAGAAATGAGGATATCCGCAGTAAAACCAGAGTGACCGATATAGCCCAACGGATTAGTAAGCTGAAGTGGCAATGGGCCGGCCATATAGCTCGAAGAACCGATAACCGATGGGGAAGAAAAGTTCTCGAGTGGCAGCCTCGTACCGGTAGGCGTAGTGTAGGGTGACCCCCCACTAGATGGAGTGACGACCTGGTAAGATATGCAAGAAGTCGATGGATGCAGGTAGCTCAGGACCGTGCTTTGTGGCATTACTTGGGGGAGGCCTATGTTCAGCAGTGGACTTGTAAAGGGCTGTAATGATGATGATGATGATGACTTACTAAATCTACACTAAATGTACACTTAAAATGATGTGCACTGTTAATCTCACTACATACTATAATTTAAAAAACTGGCTTTTGTAGAGTTGAACATAATTATTACATTGTTGTTGCTAGATACTGGATCTTCTTGGATTTATCTGCATCCAGTCGTCAGCGTTTTGGTCAAACGGCCGCGGAGTTTACTTCAGTGTAGTCGCCCACCTCGGTCTATGGTTCTCCAGTATACTTCTTTTGTTATACCTATTTCATATCGTCGAGAAGTACCACAAGTTGAAGTGGCTGAAGATAGAGATGACCGCGTACGGTGTGATCGCATTCCTGTATCTGATTGCGTCGACGATCGTCGTCGCTTTCGGTGCTGCTGCGTACTCCGCTGCTGGGGTAAGTGAAGTATAAATGGCACACCCCTCCCACTTCCGCCGATCGTGTGCCGCCCAAGTTTATTTTTGTATTGTTTTAAAATTCAGTTTAATTTTTTTGTACCTAGTAAATATTTAAGATATTTCAGTCAGTATTTACTTGTAGCTAACGCAATTTCACTTTTCTTTACTTTCCTACAGTAAATATAGCAAAGGAATGATGAGATGAAGAAGAAAAATTTAGTGATGATAAAATTTAACACAACGAGTTAGATGAATAAGAACCTACACATACTTTGTCCACTATCCTGATTGGGTGATTGTTTCATGCACTATCCACTATATATATCATAATCTCATAACTCCTAAACACTCACGCCTGTCACCCAGAGGGGTAGGCAGAGACAACCAGACTTCCATTTAGCATGATCCTGACACACCTCTCTTGCCTCCTCCGCATCCATATAACTATGCATACATGCTCGTCGATTAAGAGTACTCTTAATTTGGCCCATTTTCAATATATCGCCAATTTGTTCGATAAACTTTCGCCTAGGACGTCCCTTTCCGACTCTGCCGTTCACTTCTGCAACATAAATTTGCTTTGTCATTCTTTCCTCATTCATTTTTTCTACATGACCAAACCACCGAAGCTATTTCTATCTCAATCCTGGTCACAACATATTCTTGCAAACCACACTCTTCTATTACCACACAATTTCTCACTCTGTCACTCAGATTCAGCACTAACATACTCCTTAACGACTGCATTTCTACTGCATTTATTCTACTCTCGTGCTTCTTCTGCCACACCCAACTTTCACTACATGTGTTAAAGTAGGGACTAACACAGCATTGAGACCCATTTCCTTTATATATATATATATATATATATATATATATATATATATATATATATATATTTTTGTGTGTATGTAGGGGCTAGCATAAATTTTTTTATCAGAATCGGTCGAGCCAGTTTCGAGTTTTGCGAGACTTATGCACAGTAATTTGTTGTTATACGAGAATAGTTTGCGTCAACGAGGTGTTTTTATTTGTCTATGTGCAATTTATGTTACGATGTGAACAAACATTCAACATAAAACAATCCAACGCGCTAGACCCGCCACATAATGATAACGACATATTAAACATATTTATTTATGGTTCATAAAAGATAGCTTGATCTCTGCGACAGCTGTCAGTAAAATCACGCCTATGAAGTCCTGAATTTCTCAGTAGTACAGACAGTACCTGTCAATGTCATACTTTATGGGCATGCCGACCTAAGCGCATAAAGCTATCTCAAAAACTCAAGCTATCTTTTATGAACTATAGTTTCATGTAATACTACGACGTTGCCAAACATATTGATAAGGGGTCGCACTCAGTATTTGGCGTGGCTAAACACGGCTGTTGTTTTTCAGTGTTGCCCTTTCCATCCCTTTCAAGTAGTTCAAGCAGTGGTATATTGTTTACTAATTTATTATGTAAAGTAATTTAAGGTAACAGAAAATAAAAAAAATATTAAAATATACTCTACATAACTAGCGTTCTAATTGGTTATTGTATCAGTTTACTACATCAGTTTGTTGCATTTGTATTATTATTTAAAATGGTTAGCTCACTGAGATATAATCTGACTCATTTGATTTTACTGGTGTACAATATACTTGTATGACCATATATATTAATCCATTCATTGTTTTCCATAGTGCCTAACGAGCCTTCAATTTAATCGATTTTTAACGCATTAACCCCATTTTATTTTAACAATGTACTATCAATAATATTAGGTACAATAAAATATTTATTAATTTGTTTCAATATCGTCGCAAAATTAAAAAGAGTCATACTCAACAAGCAAAAAGAAAACTGCGTAAAATGAACAGAGAAAAAAATAAAGATTATACATACTGTGTCACTTTCATAACGAAGACGAAATTAACGTCTACAGAGCGTGCTAATTTTTTTTTTGCGCCCGAAGCAATTAAAGGGCTACCCTATACGTAGAGAGGCGGAAAATGCATTACGCATACCACGATAGCCGGTCTATCGTGGTTATGAGGGACTCACTGTCCTACCGGGGACCCTAAGTGATACCCTCTAAAAACCGCCTTTGGGGACAGGCAACCTGCTGATTAAGCTGTATTGTGCCTTATCGTGAGCGACACTCTTTTGGGAAAAGAGAGCGCAGGGGGCTACGAGCCGCTGAGGGAGTGCCTACGAAGGCAAATTAATATTAGTTAATATGATAATTTAATTTAATTGGAGTTGGCCTGAGCCGCCTGAGCCGCCGAGGCAGTTCAGATCGTTAGTTTATTAGGCGGGTCCGAGAGAGAGTTTCTCGGCCTGCGGACTCGATAGCGAGAGGGGGGTGGGGCTGCATAAGTGGCTGCCTCACGAATTAAATGATTTGAGTGCGACTCTGAGGCTTTGAAGAAGTTCTCAGAGAGTTTTTGGAGAAATTGTTGGATTGTGGGGAGCTCTAGATCCCGATGAAGGTCAGCATTACGGACGTACCAAGGTGCGTTCGCAGCTCGACGACAGAAAAGCTTTTGAACTATTTGGAGTTCATTAATGATTTTAGGGTTGGCGTGGGCAAAAACGGGGCCCGCGTATGACATGACTGGTCGTATACAGACCTTATAAAGGGTACGGTGTGCTAAAGAAATAGACTTACTTATATATACAAACATACGCTCATAAAACCTTACCCTTCTAGGGTAGTCGTGTAAAAATAAATCGTTACGGACAACGAAGCCATGCGTATATTTTAAAAGGTTTTTTCATTAAAGTTTGTGTTGTGTGAGATACAAGCGCAAGGAAAATCATTTTAAATAGGTAACATATGCCTAGGAATTTTTCTAGACACAATAGAAATTTAATTTCGCTATTTAATGATACTATGCTAATTTATCCATTCGTCGATGGTACATGATATAAAATGGTGCTACGGTATAAAGTATATTTTAAATAAACGTCACACTAAATTTCTCCTGTATCATGGAGTCATTTCACGTACACAAATTGTACGTGAATAAAGTCTTCGAGCAATTAGTTGTTCATAGTAAATTACAGGTCATACATACAAATAGAGTTCCATACGAAAATCAAATATGCGATCCACGGCGTAGCAGCCAAACGATTGTTAACTGCGCAATCGAGTATTGTTTTTGTTGCAAATGTTCGTTCCATTCCATATTGACGGGCAGCTATTTAGACAGTTTGCCTTTGCGCGATAATTTACGATAATTTATCATAGTTATCGCCGTTATCCAATAAAATAAGAAAGATCAACTTCGGTATGAGAAAGCCGCCATATTATGTCTAAATATTCTTTAAGAATTAGGGTGACAAGCGAGCACGCAGTCCACCTGACGATAACTGGATTATGTGGGCCTTGGAAACCAAAATCTATACTCAATAGATTTAGGGGAAAACGGGGTAATCTATCTAAGTCTACCTTGAGGACTAACACCGGTAAAAAAGATCACCAGATCTCCTCACTCATCATACGAAACAGACGCCACTCTGTAAGAGCGTGGTCCCTCCCCGATCGATCATTTGTTCTGCAATCATGTTAAGCTCTTGCGTGACGCTACCATGTAAACATACGAGTATATAAATAAAGTATATAGTATACACGGACTAGTAGAAGAATCAATGAGGAAATAGTGATAAAGCAAATTTAAATTGCATAAGTGAGTGCCAGAGTCGGTAGATCAAATTGGCGATATATAAAAGCAGGGCCAAGTTGAAGAGTACCCTCTACCGACAGGGATGTATGCGTAGTGGAGTGTGTAATATGCATGTATAAAAATCGAGAGGTGTGTCAGGATCGCGCCAAATAAAAGTCTGTAGTCTCTGCCTACCCTTCTGGGTGATAGGCGTGAAAGATTATGTTATGTTATACGTAGTGAATTGTCGGACCGTGACAAGATGGCGGCCAGCACTGGTGGGGCCATTCGAATCTCGATTTCATTTTGCTAATTCTGAGAATAGCAACGGAAGTCATAATGTTTTTACCTATGCAAAATATTTAATATGATAACGTCATAGCCATTAAAATCGTGTTTCATTGGTTTCAATGTATGGGTTTTGCTATTAGTGTCGTGTGAAGATAACATAGTAATTAATATCTTTGTTTTACGCTTAGCACGGTTAAATATATTTTAAAACTAGTTATACGTGGGAAAGTCACGTTGCAGCTATATTATGGTTGTAGCACGAATAGGTCGCTTTGACCGGGGAAGGACCACGCTCTCATAAATTACCTGCTTAAAATAGCAGCTCAATGCTGCGCTGTGTTTCGTTTAGTGAGTGTAGAGGACCGGAGACCCTTTTTACTGGAAATGAGACATTCCATCTTAGTCCTTAGGGGTGACAACGCATCTGCATTTTAATTCTTAATCGAGTGTAAATGAAGATCTCTATGGGCCACAGAATTCACTTAACATCAGGTGGACTGTGTGCCCGTTTGTCGACCCTTATTCTATAAAAAAAATAGACAGCCACTATAATGACCAAGTTGCCGATATATTGAAAATGGGCCAAATTAAGAGAACCCTTAACCGACGAGCATGTATGCGTAGGTATGTGGACGTAAAATAATAAATTAGCTATTTTAAAAATGATGTTAATCGATTGAGTAGACGATTCTGAACAAACCACTTTCTCAAAGTGCGTTAATTATGTTACGTGTTGTATATATATATATATATATATATATATATATATATATATATATATATATATAGCATTAGCGAATTAGGAGGCGAGAGAAGTGTGTCAGGATCGTGCCCAATTGAAGTTCGTAGATTTTGCCTACTCTTCCAGGTGACTGGCGTGAGTGAGGGCCACAGCATCCACTTACAATCAGGTGGACGGTGTGCTCGTTTGTCACCCAATGCTATAAAAAGCTTGGGACAAACTTGAACATGGGCCAAGGTATGCCACAAAAATTCAGTCCTAAAACGACTACATCTATCGATTTCCCGCGTCAACCGCGTGTCTTCTTTT